ATCATTCGTCCTCCAGGCGCGAGCTGTTCCAAAAGCTGAAATAATGATGCACTATCAACGCTCCGCTCTAAGCTTAATTTGTCGGGCATCTTTTCTTTCAAACAAGCAGAACCGCAACGACAAACCGAAACGAACACAAATGGAGCACTAGTTACAGTGAAAACGTACTTGCGAGGCACCAAAATCACTCAGACAATACCAGAGAACCTGCGCCAAGCACCCGCCTGGCTTCAATACACAGAACGGGCAGGAGTGACATCAATAAAAACGATTTAGGGAAAACAAACGGAGAGGAGAAATGCTGCTGACCAAAAATGAAAATGAGTCACGTTTTAAGACTACAGCTACTGCCATTTATTTTCCCAGCTTAAAAATTACGGGACGCAAAATGATAGCTGCACTTGGCTAATTTAATTTGCACGAAGAAAAAAAAAATCCACTGCTTGCTTATCTTCCTCACTGTACCTCACTCAGTGCCAGGTCCCAGCTTATACACATTACATATTCATTCTTGTACCATTAATTCTCTTGGTTGTTTTGTCTTTAAACCCTCAAAATGTCTCCTGGAAGTGGAATTTACGACAGGAAATCACAGTTATTACTCATATGAGATTCCTGGAAGAACTTATCATTCCGCAAGCAATCTATCGACATCCGTATAAGTGCAAAGTTTTTGCTGGTACGCATCATCAAATTACTGGGTGTTTCGCTTCTCACAGCCAGTGAATATGCAAGGGAAGGAAGTTGACTTTCGACACTGCACACGCTCATACACACAGAGTTGCCCACTAATGAACTGTTTGCCTAAATCAAATCAATGCCAATGAAGCAGAACTGCTACTAATAAACATGCGCGATTTATGGTTTCGCGTTAAAGCCATCAATTCATTTTGTACAAGTTTTAAATACCCCTCTTGTATGTCCTTTGTTTCTGCATACATAGCAGTTTCATTAAGCTTGCAAAGTTAACGAATCAGTTCAGGCGAAAGGCAAATAAAGCATTCACGCAAGCTATCACCGGGAGCTGTTTACTCCAAAGCCGCTTAAAGCGTTAACTTTCACAGAGATTCAAAAGCTCCTCGCATACCGCATCAGGGATTTGAGGCGAAGCGGCACCAACATGGATTGCCTTATACGGTGCAAGTGCTTTATATCCAAGGCGACCATCGCCCTCGACGATCACCACTCGTCCAGATGTCACAAGCTCTCCATGATGTTTATTGATGTTTTCGAGTGAAAGATCAACTAATCCTCTGATATGATCAATGCCAACCACTTTACCCTTGCTTCCTACCTGAAATTTTACTGATTTACAAAGCGAGTTCGATGGGTTCAACTACATTATGTATCACGACAAATGTCTAAAATATTCACATTCGCAATGCTATGAAATCAACATTTAACCAGAACCATCATGCGCCA